ACACAACAGTCCTGCTTGAAACATGGCTTGGTTCACAAGGAATCAACGTTGATGTCCAGAACACCAAGCAGATGCCATTGAGGTACTGATGATTAAGAAGAAAATAACTTTGGTCCTTGTCTGTAACATTTCTTCACTTATATCCGTTGTCTATGTATATATCAGGGAGCTTCACAAAGATTGTAGAATAATGCGATTGTTCTTCAATGAAACTTTTATTGTAAATTAAGCAACAAATTGACATTTCACACCATCCAATCTGCATTCAACAGGTCAAACCAATCCCCCAAGTCCCTTCCATATCTTTGAATTTCATTTTTCCTTGAACTTTTTCAAACTGTTATATTTATTAACCTAAAAGTGAATAACAGATGTATGGTGTTTCTGAGATATCTAGGTGACAACTGAATGGATTACTACACCAGTTAGAGAAAGGGCGTAGAGAGGATGAAGGACTGGTCCCAGAAATAATGTACAAGTGGGAGGTGGGCGATATTTGAACCATGGTCTCACAGGAAGAAATTTTAGGCTGATTCTTAAATTCTAATTCTTAAATTAAGAGTTAGCATATCAGTTGAGACGTGTTTAGAAGTGGTTTATGAAAAAACAAAGGATGAAATGTTAAAAATGTTCATCCTAGTTACAAAATTGTCAGAAGTGCAGAGAACTTTAAAGAGAACCGAGCAGGTGGTAAACATTCAGAGTAAGTACCAGGTGGCTAGGAATTCAGATTTAAGATGCCAATAGATAGGACATAGGGATTTTTTTTGCTGGGAAGATAATCCTAGTTACTTGCCTATAAGAAAAGTCATAAAGATTGAAGAAAGAATAGAATTTTTTTAAATTGTCTGTTAGACAATTCAATGGGAGATGGCGTTTTGATCATCTCTTTTAGGAAACGGAAATTAAATCACTAGAATGAAAGCAACTTTAAAGGGTTAGAACAAATGATAAAATGGAAATCAAAACCTTCAAAGAAACTACAAGTGGAGAAAGCCAGGAACCAGTTAAAGGCATCATGGGAGACGCATTTATGGTGGAAGCTCAAGATCCAAGTGGGGCTGGATCCTGTGAAAGGCAATGCCTGTTACTGAACAGGGGGGAAGGAGCTGTCCTCGAGGACAGTTCTGAATTCAAAGCTCTGTCTTTGGAGAGGTCTGAACGGTGGAGTTTCACAGTAAGGGAGACAGAAGCGCATGAAGGAGGCGTGGATTTCAGAATGCCCAGCCCTCAAACTGTCAAAATGTAGATCACACAAGAGGGAATCTAATCTCAGGACGAGGAATAAATACTTCAGTAAAGGAGAGGAAAAGAGGTCTCCCAAGTGGAGAGACATGAAAGCTGTTACGTATTCTCAGACACCTTACAGATGTCAGCCTTCACCCAACTGAAGGTGCCTTCCACAATCATTCTCTTGAGACTTGCTCACTCACCTGACCATATTCCACCACAGCTTTTTCCTAATACGGACCCTGGTGGTTCTCCTCGGTCCATCCAAGAGAACGCATCAGGTTTGCTAAGTTGATAACCTGTCCGTGAGAAATCACAGAATCTTACAAACACCAAAATGGACTTTAGGTTTGTGAACACTTAGTTTTCAAAAGTACACAGAAAAGGGTTGGCTATCAAGAAGAGAAACACGTTCCTGTGGGGTACAAGCCTCCTCTACACGGCAAGGGGTGGTGTCAATGAGGGGCAACATTAAAGAGACATCAGACAAGATAAAGCATGCAATTGCTCACCTCCCAGAAGGCCAGGATCTCAGTGAATATCACAGCTTATATCCATTTTGGGATCGGGCAAGCCCCCCTTCATTACATCGTAACAGGAAGGGGCTGTACAATACGCATACGTGCAATAGGAGGGGGACCAGCTGGGGATATACATGCGACAAAATGGGTGGACTCTAAACTCAACATGACATCCTCACCTTGACCCTCTTTGAGTTGGCTTGACACAGTTTTGGGCTCTCCTACAGAGAATAATCCACTGGCCTTATCAGCAGGGAGAGGGCCCCACGGAGAATCGGACAGACCATGATTACTCTACATGGCTGATCACCCTGAGGCAGATAACCCTTAAGCAGCTGACCTCCAAGTGTATAGACATTGACCATGTGTAACAGGATCTTGGCTTTGGCATATAATATGGAGAGACAACCTGGGGAATAATCCTTCTGTAGCCCACATTCCCCCACCAATCTTGAGCCAGAGAGTGCAATGAGACTCTAACACTTTGTGAGCACCACAGACACTGCAAAGACTTTAGCACATGAGAAAGAAAAAGACA